CACAAGGAGATGTTTTGTCACCCCTTCTTTGGACTCTAGTGGTTGACCAACTATTGTACAAAATGGCAGACCTACGCATTGACACACTGAATTATGCTGATGACCTTGTGATCACAGCGAGGGGCTTTTGCCAAAGTACTTTATCGTCAATAATACAAAGAGCCCTAAACACCATAAATAACTGGTGTAGGGATAACAGTTTATCAGTTAATGCTGATAAAACTGTTATAATGCCCTTTACCAAAAAGAAACGGTTGGACAATAGTCCAACAAAAACTTAATGGTAAAGAAGTACCATTTTCCACGGAAGTTAAGTACTTGGGCGTAACAATCGACCAAAAACTAACGCGGAACTCTCACCTCAGCAACGTATGCCATAAGGCAAAAATTGGTTTAGGTATGTGCAGTCGTTTGGTCGGGAACAACTGGAGCTTGCGTCCTAGTATGGTCCTATGGCTGTACAGCAACATAGTGAGGTCGATTCTCACCTACTTCTCTGTCTGGTGTAACAAGGTCAACCAAAAGACGACTGCGGACAGACTAGTCTACAAAGGACTGCCTACTTAATGGCAACTGGAGCTATGCAATCATCGCCTGGAGCGGCTCTTAATGCACTTCTATGCCTAACGCCCCTTGATCTTTATCTAGACAAAGAGGCGAGGGCTACTTTGTATAGGATTACCGCCCAGGGCGGTCTGAGCTTGCTCTCCTACAGATTAAGATCCATGCTTGACTCAATTAAGGAAACACCGGTCTTATGCATGATCTCAGATATCATGCGTCCACTACACACTTTTGATAAAAGTATATGGTGGAATTACTCTCCAGAGAAAACTGGCTGAATGGCCAGGTTATGTGAGGTCGGTAGCCTCATATCGATACCTCCAATGAACACTACGCCAACTTGATTTTTACTCATTTTCAGGTTTTAATGGAAAATGACTCATTAAAGTAATAATATTATGCACCATAAATTTCTTAAAAAAATTTAAAGAAATAAAAAAGTTTTGTAAATTACATAACGCCAAGTAAATGTACTTTTGACAAACATGCGACATACACCGTCACTACTCGTTTTAGCGGTGTGTATTCGGGATGCGCGGCCGCTAACCGCACGACTGTACGCCGCCAACAAGGATAAAGATAGGATTTCATGTTCCAAAAAGGATCAGTGTGACCGCAGAGCGAAAAATATATAATTCATCAAAAAGAAAAGGAGTATTCTCGAAATTAAAATAGAAAATAAATTACTAGTAACTAATGATAATAAAAAAGCATGTATTGTATTTGATTTTCAGAAAGTACTGAACGCACCACATGGAAACAATAGTATTTATTATTACAGATGAAAGCTTAACGTATATAATTTTACTGTGTATGACATAGCGCATAAAGAAGTATTCTGTTACATGTGGGACGAAAAAACCGCAAGGAGAGGGGCAAATGATGTCTCTAGTTGTCTTTATGATTTCTTGACTAAGCTGGCTTCAAAGGGAGTTACTGAAATATATCTATGGCCAGATAATTGCGGGGGCCAAAACCGTAACCGGATTGTTTACTACATGTACTTGTTAGCGGCAATTAATCTGAAAATTAAAATTTATCATCGCTTCATGGAGAAGGGACATACACAAAACAAAGGCGATTCGGTGCATGCCCTAATCGAAAAATCAGCCAAAGGAAGATGAATGGTATTCCTTAGTACAATTGGCAAAAGTAAATGATAAGTCGTATAATGTCATTGAAGTAAAGCAGAATTTGATCTTAGATTTTAAAAAGGTATTTACAAAAAAAAAAATGGACAAAAAGTGTTTCTAATGATAAGGTTTCTTGGAATAAAGTCAAAGAGATCGGGGTTAATCCAGAAAATATAGGAATGTTACGTTATAAATACAGCTTAGGTGATGTAGAAAGTCAGCAGATACAATGCTTTAAACAATCGAGTACGAGACAGTCTCGCTCAGAACCTTTTCCAGACAAAGCATATACCCATTTATTGAAAATAAATAGGGCTAAATACAAAGATTTAGTTTATTTCTGTGATAATAATATCGTACCTCTAAAATTTCATAATTTTTATAAGAGTTTACCAGTGGCAGAGGTCGACCACGAACTTGATGGAAGCGAAGACGAGCATTGATGTCATCTGAATCAGTGTCTTGCTTCCTTGTTTCGTAACCATTTCAGTTTTTTTATTCAGAATAATTGTTTTGTAAGTTCATAGTTATGGAGTGAAACATGCTGATTGATCTCGTAAATACTTTAAGTAATTTAAGCGATTATTGTAATTTACAATGTTTTAGTCATGTGTATACTATTACTATTATAAAAGAATTTGATGTTAATTTTATGGGAATCTTGACTGTAGCTGAGATTGTTCTAATTCTTTTGTATTAATTAAAAAGTTAATTTAGTTCACACCAATTGTGCTGATTGATCTCTATATTATTAAACAATTACGTTTATACAGTGATTATATAAGGTTAAAATTTTATATTTACTAATATAAAAACTATAAACATTTTTTTTTATTTCCAACTTAGGTAATATTACCCACTACCAAAAAAGAAATTAATTATAAATAATTTTGATAATTCAGTATATTTGTAACATGTTATTATTATTAACAATAATATTGTTTTGACTAATTTTGTAAATTTTTATATAAAATATTGGAAAAACATACGATTTTATTCATATTTTGTGTCAAACAAAACGCTAAGTGTTAACACTGGTCGTGTTGTTCTACGCTATGTATGTGCTAGCGACATGTAAAACGGTAGTTGATTTTATTACTTTCCCAGTTACAAAACGCTAACTTTTTAAATTTAGAAATAAGAGAACATTTTATCAAGATATGTTAGTTGAAGCACTAAAATAATTCTATTATTGGATGTACTTTAAAATTAATACGTTATAATATTCTAGTATGGGTTTGATTAAGATTTTGAGAGCTCTCTCATATTCCGAGATATATTACGCTAACTTTGAGTTTACGGAGTGTAAAGGAATCTCAAATGACATTTTTCCGTCTTAAACTCCGCTAACTAGAGCTAATGGGTGCGTTTGGCAGAAAAAAGCGCTAGCAAGCGCTTACTAGCGCTAAAATAGTTTTCGGCCAGGACACGATTGCTACTTCAGTAGCGCTGACATAATCCGCCATTTTGCTTATTTAATTTGTTTGTTTTGAAGTAGAGTTTATAAGATGTTTTCTGCAATATTAGTTTTAAGTAATATAATGACATGAATAGACATATACATGTTATTAGAAATTCATGATTGGTAAGTTTTTAATATCAATACTTCACAAACATATATTTAAATTAGGTTAGATTCCCCGGTTAAAACTAACATCGTGTACTAGAGGAAAATAGCTACTTACGATTTGACAGCGCTCACCGCTTACGATCGCCATTTTGCTTACAAGCGCTTGCTAGCGCTTTTTTCTGCCAAACGCACCCAATTTTAAAACTTTTGAAAATAATTAAAATGCAATTATGCAGTTAGAAGTAACAGCATATTATTTATTCATCCTGAAAATGTCATTAATATAGGTGTGATAATAAAAAAGTTATCAATGTTTTTTCTTTAAGAGTTTCTCCTGTAAACCTACTAAAATCCGAGTTGGCGTACTGTAAATTGGAGGTATCGATATGGTATACCGATTGGTCTAAAATGGGCCTCAACATAGGCTTTGGAATTTACGGGGAACGCCCCAAATTCAAACTTAGTATGAATTAGAGATGGGCCGAATATTCGTTTTTTATTCGGTATTCGGCATATTCGGCAGGTTTCCCGAATATTCGTATTCGGCCGAATATTCGGCTAAATCACCGAACATTCGAACCGAACATTTTCATAGTGTCCAATGTATTGAAATGTACGAATTAAGCAATGCGATGTACTTTACTGTTAAAAGTATATTTTATTTATGGGTTAAATCTACTTACTCTAAAAGTGCCTCAAATGCATAAATCTATACATTTATGTTGTTGAGGCACTGTGGATTTATTTCCGATTATGGCAAATAGAAACTTGATAAAATGTTTTTGGAATCAAACAAAGAAACATTAAATTACATTAGTACATTTCACTTCACTTTGTTCGTCAGTTTCTCTAAAATAAGTCCAAATAGTAAATCTCCTGCCATTCATTTTTATCATATAATTATCAATTTTCGCTAAGAATAAAATTCTTACGGCTCTTTACCTTATTCACTAAGAATGGTAGCTCAGATGGTTAGCGCTCGCTGTAAATTTCACAGTGCACGACCAAACGCAGTTCGATCCCCGCTGGCACCAATGAAATTATTAATTGCAATTTTAAGTGCTGATTTACAAAAATTTTGAAAACATCGTGAGGAAACCTGCATGTCTGAGAAATAAGAAAAAATTATTTCGAAGACATGTAAAGTTCGCCAACAAGCATATTGGGGCAGTGCGGTGGACAATTCCTTGCCCTATAACCTTCTCAGAAATGAGCAGAGGCCTGTGACCAGGAGTGGGACGTATATAGGCTATAACTTCAACTTTAATTAAGAATATAACAACGAAATACTTTTTTATCACAAGAATAGTCAAAACATAAGCATGTGCCGGCAATTTGCTTAGTACTAGATAATGCAATAACATGTCAGGTGTGGCGGGAAGCGAGAGGCAGGGTCCGGCGTTAATCCCGTGTGCTTTATGGTAACAAGTTTCGACATAAATTGGTTAAGTCCCAAGGTTATCCTGCCGAATAATGTTCGGCCGAATATTCGGTTCGGTAAAAATTTAACCGAATATTCGGCTGAATATTCGTATTCGGTGAAATCCATATTCGGCCCATCCCTAGTATGAATTTGGGTAGATTCACCACTATCTTCCAGAAAGTATTTCACGTTCTTAGTTGTTCATCTACGACAAGTTACTAAAGTAAATTGCCTTTTTCAAAGTGATAATGTCGATCCAGCGAAACTGTTAGAAGACTTGTTTTTGCTATTCAAAAATATCCTGCAAATTATGTTACGAACTGAAACTGTTACGGATGGAGTATATGCATCATTTGGTTTTCAGGAGCATTTGATGCATGTATCAGCAATGCATTTTGGCTACACGGTTGAAGAGGCGCTATCGAAACTAGACAGACGTGACAAAGAAGACGTACGTGAGAGATGCAAAACCTTTCTTGTTATTTTGTGTTCCGAATTACAGAAAAGGTTGCCAAAACAGATCACATTCCTTAAAGCCGTGGTGAAGTTGTCTCCAGAAATAGCCACTTCTCAAGTGAAACCTACATTAGTTGACATATTACAAAATGTTCAAAGGGCTGAAGTATATGGTTGTAAACAAGAGGTAGAAATGGAATGGAATAATTTGCAAAACAAATCTTGGAAAAATACGACGCGTTGTACTGATTTTTGGGCTGAGGTTCAGGGGGACACAGACGCTGGGGGTAATAAAAGATTCCCTAATGTCTCTAAATTAGCATTGTCTCTTTTGTCGGCGCCTATATCTAATGCAGCCGTAGAAAGGGCCTTTTCTCTATACTCAGTCGTCAAAACAAAGCTTAGGAATAGGCTATACCTGCCTATGATACAGAATATAATGACTGTAAGATACAATTTAAACATATTTCACAAATCTTGTGTTAACTTCACTCCTTCAAAAACAATGTTGGACAAATTTAATAATAGCATGTATGACAAAAAAGATAGTGATGCAGAGGATACTTTTATTGTTATGTGCCAATAATATAATAATATGAATAAATAATGTAGTTGTTTTGTTTGTAAAGAAGGAAAAGACAAGGATATTTTTAGGGTATTTTTTTTAAATAATACAGATTCTAGGGTAAATTGAGACCAAACCTAGGGTAAAGTAAAACATTGAACTGGCAACACTCACAGTATTCTATGATTTGAAACTACGGCGATTGAAAATGGATTTGGGAAGCGAAAACCTAGATTTAAGTAAATTAATAAATGTTAAAGGCAATGTTGATAATATAACGCCACACAAAATAGCCGTGGTGGCGTTTATTCGTGAATACGGTCTATTAAAAATAGAAGGTATTAAGTACTTTATAAATTATCCATAGTAAATTTGTTTATCGGCCTTTTATAAATTGAGAAACTTTTTAATAATTGTTTCAGCAAAAGATATGATTGATTGCACAATGGCCCCTAAATACAGAAAAGACTTTTGTATTCTTGCGCTTAAGTTAATTCAGGTATTTGTCTAATTTCCTAATTGACATACAATTTTTTACTGTTAATAATGACTATAATACTTTTTAGTGCCCAGATATGGAGTTTAAAGATTTGGAGACACTTCTTACAAATGGCCGTTATAATTTATTAAGTGTTCACTTAGAGAATTTTTGTGTTCGACTTAAGAACATACATGTTAATGGTATAAGTGCTCTAATGGATTGTGTTACTTCAACTGTTGATAAATTAATGATTGAACAGAATGAAACTAATCCATGTGTAATTACTAGATGCAGTGTCTTAGGTAACAGTTTTACATTATATTAAATAATTTATTAAAACAATATTATTAATATATATGTCGGAAGATTACTCTTCTAAATAATTTTAATAAAAAAAAAAAGAAAATTTCTCAGTAACAACTATAAATTATAAAACAGAAAACACTAAACAGTAACTATTAAATTCAAGATAACCAATTGAATGACTTCTATTATGTGCGAGCAGCTATGCTGGTCTAGGGAAAGAGACCAGTATTACTGCGACCTAAAAGATCGATTGTGATCGCCGCTATGGCTATAGTTCACTGCTAAGCCATATGTCTTCAATGAATAGAAGGAGTTGCTAAGCTGTGAGCAATTTCGCTTCTTCTGGGCGGAGTACATAGTTCCCAGATGAGTGTTACGTTTGCGCATTAAGGGTTAGCAATCAGTTAGGATGTGCAGAGGCATTTCGTCCGTCATGGAACAGAGCCAACATGGGCTTTTTAAGACAATAGTGTCGAGTTAGAGCTCTTGCGAGAATGCGCAATTTGTTTTTACTTAATCCCAGGGCTTCTGAAGCAAATTTTGCGATCAAAAGCCACGATTAAGGTTTTAGAATGTTTTAAGCCTGGTGTGTCAGACCAGATCTTAAGTGATTTATTGTGATAAAGAGTTTCAAGGGTTAATCGGGCTAGACTTCTTGAGAGTCCACAAAATGGCACAGATCCAAATTGTGTGCACTTTGAGCCCTTCTGTGCAAGTTTGTCGGCAAATTCGTTGCCTACGATACCCGCGTGACCTGGAACCCATTGAAAGTTTAAACGGTTCACGCAGTCTCCAACTAGCTTCAAGTTCACTAAGCTTGACCTCAGCACTAGCAGCGCTATTAGACTATCAGAGTTTATATAAATTATATGGTTGACATAGTGTTTTTGCAGATTGATTTCTGCACACTGAAGTATGGCGAAAATTTCTTTCTGGAAGATAGTGGTGAATCTCCAAATTCATACTAGGGATGGGCCGAATATGGATTTCACCGAATACGAATATTCAGCTGAATATTCGGTAAAATTTTTACCGAACCGAATATTCGGCCGAACATTATTCGGCAGGATAACCTTGGGACTTAACCAATTTATGTCGAAACTTGTTACCATAAAGCACACGGGATTAACGCCGGACCCTGCCTCTCGCTTCCCGCCACACCTGACATGTTATTGCATTATCTAGTACTGAGCAAATTGCACATACTTATGTTTTGACTATTCTTGTGATAAAAAAGTATTTCGTTGTTATATTCTTAATTAAAGTTGAAGTTATAGCCTATATACGTCCCACTCCTGGTCACAGGCCTCTGCTCATTTCTGAGAGGGTTATAGGGCAAGGAATTGTCCACCGCACTGCCCCAATATGCTTGTTGGCGAACTTTACATGTCTTCGAAATAATTTTTTCTTATTTCTCAGACATGCAGGTTTCCTCACGATGTTTTCAAAATTTTTGTAAATCAGCACTTAAAATTGCAATTAATAATTTCATTGGTGCCAGCGGGGATCGAACTGCGTTTGGTCGTGCACTATGAAATTTACAGCGAGCGCTAACCATCTGAGCTACCATTCTTAGTGAATAAGGTAAAGAGCCGTAAGAATTTTATTCTTAGCGAAAATTGATAATTATATGATAAAAATGAATGGCAGGAGATTTACTATTTGGACTTATTTTAGAGAAACTGACGAACAAAGTGAAGTGAAATGTACTAATGTAATTTAATGTTTCTTTGTTTGATTCCAAAAACATTTTATCAAGTTTCTATTTGCCATAATCGGAAATAAATCCACAGTGCCTCAACAACATAAATGTATAGATTTATGCATTTGAGGTACTTTTAGAGTAAGTAGATTTAACCCATAAATAAAATATACTTTTACCAGTAAAGTACATCGCATTGCTTAATTCGTACATTTCAATACATTGGACACTATGAAAATGTTCGGTGATTTAGCCGAATATTCGGCCGAATACGAATATTCGGAAAACCTGCCGAATATGCCGAATACCGAATAAAAAACGAATATTCGGCCCATCTCTAATTCATACTAAGTTTGAATTTGGGGCGTTCCCCGTAAATTCCAATGCCTATGTTGAGGCCCATTTTAGACCAATCGGTATACCATATCGATACCTCCAATTTACAGTACGCCAACTCGGATTAGTAGGTTTACAGGAGAAACTCTTAAAGAAAAAACATTGATAACTTTTTTATTATCACACCTATATTAATGACATTTTCAGGATGAATAAATAATATGCTGTTACTTCTAACTGCATAATTGCATTTTAATTATTTTCAAAAGTTTTAAAATTAGCTCTAGTTAGCGGAGTTTAAGACGGAAAAATGTCATTTGAGATTCCTTTACACTCCGTAAACTCAAAGTTAGCGTAATATATCTCGGAATATGAGAGAGCTCTCAAAATCTTAATCAAACCCATACTAGAATATTATAACGTATTAATTTTAAAGTACATCCAATAATAGAATTATTTTAGTGCTTCAACTAACATATCTTGATAAAATGTTCTCTTATTTCTAAATTTAAAAAGTTAGCGTTTTGTAACTGGGAAAGTAATAAAATCAACTACCGTTTTACATGTCGCTAGCACATACATAGCGTAGAACAACACGACCAGTTTTAACAGTTAGCGTTTTGTTTGACACAAAATATGAATAAAATCGTATGTTTTTCCAATATTTTATATAAAAATTTACAAAATTAGTCAAAACAATATTATTGTTAATAATAATAACATGTTACAAATATACTGAATTATCAAAATTATTTATAATTAATTTCTTTTTTGGTAGTGGGTAATATTACCTAAGTTGGAAATAAAAAAAAATGTTTATAGTTTTTATATTAGTAAATATAAAATTTTAACCTTATATAATCACTGTATAAACATAATTGTTTAATAATATAGAGATCAATCAGCACAATTGGTGTGAACTAAATTAACTTTTTAATTAATACAAAAGAATTAGAACAATCTCAGCTACAGTCAAGATTCCCATAAAATTAACATCAAATTCTTTTATAATAGTAATAGTATACACATGACTAAAACATTGTAAATTACAATAATCGCTTAAATTACTTAAAGTATTTACGAGATCAATCAGCATGTTTCACTCCATAACTATGAACTTACAAAACAATTATTCTGAATAAAAAAACTGAAATGGTTACGAAACAAGGAAGCAAGACACTGATTCAGATGACATCAATGCTCGTCTTCGCTTCCATCAAGTTCGTGGTCGACCTCTGCCACTGGTAAACTCTTATAAAAATTATGAAATTTTAGAGGTACGATATTATTATCACAGAAATAAACTAAATCTTTGTATTTAGCCCTATTTATTTTCAATAAATGGGTATATGCTTTGTCTGGAAAAGGTTCTGAGCGAGACTGTCTCGTACTCGATTGTTTAAAGCATTGTATCTGCTGACTTTCTACATCACCTAAGATGTATTTATAACGTAACATTCCTATATTTTCTGGATTAACCCCGATCTCTTTGACTTTATTCCAAGAAACCTTATCATTAGAAACACTTTTTGTCCATTTTTTTTGTAAATACCTTTTTAAAATCTAAGATCATATTCTGCTTTACTTCAATGACATTATACGACTTATCATTTACTTTTGCCAATTGTACTAAGGAATACCATTCATCTTCCTTTGGCTGATTTTTCGATTAGGGCATGCACCGAATCGCCTTCGTTTTGTGTATGTCCCTTCTCCATGAAGCGATGATAAATTTTAATTTTCAGATTAATTGCCGCTAACAAGTACATGTGGTAAACATTCCGGTTACGGTTTTGGCCCCCGCAATTATCTGGCCATAGATATATTTCAGTAACTCCCTTTGAAGCCAGCTTAGTCAAGAAATCATAAAGACAACTAGAGACATCATTTGCCCCTCTCCTTGCGGTTTTTTCGTCCCACATGTAACAGAATACTTCTTTATGCGCTGTGTCATACACAGTAAAATTATATACGTTAAGCTTTCATCTGTAATAATAAATACTATTGTTTCCATGTGGTGCGTTCAGTACTTTCTGAAAATCAAATACAATACATGCTTTTTTATTATCATTAGTTACTAGTAATTTATTTTCTAATTTAATTTCGAGAATACTCCTTTTCTTTTTGATGAATTATATATTTTTCGCTCTGCTCATCAGTATCTTCAGGTATGTTCTTAAATTGATGGCAGAGGTCACACTGATCCTTTTTGGAACATGAAATCCTATCTTTATCCTTGTTGGCGGCGTACAGTCGTGCGGTTAGCGGCCGCGCATCCCGAATACACACCGCTAAAACGAGTAGTGGCGGTGTATGTCGCGTGTTTGTCAAAAGTACATTTACTTGGCGTTATGTAATTTACAAAACTTTTTTATTTCTTTAAATTTTTTTAAGAAATTTATGGTGCATAATATTATTACTTTAATGAGTCATTTTCCATTAAAACCTGAAAATGAGTAAAAATCAAGTTGGCGTAGTGTTCATTGGAGGTATCGATATGAGGCTACCGACCTCACATAACCTGGCCATTCAGCCAGTTTTCTCTGGAGGGTAATTCCACCATATACTTTTATCAAAAGTGTGTAGTGGACGCATGATATCTGAGATCATGCATAATACCGGTGTTTCCTTAATTGAGTCAAGCATGGATCTTAATCTGTAGGAGAGCAAGCTCAGACCGCCCTGGGCGGTAATCCTATACAAAGTAGCCCTCGCCTCTTTGTCTAGATAAAGATCAAGGGACGTTAGGCATAGAAGTGCATTAAGAGCCGCTCCAGGCGATGATTGCATAGCTCCAGTTGCCATTAAGTAGGCAGTCCTTTGTAGACTAGTCTGTCCGCAGTCGTCTTTTGGTTGACCTTGTTACACCAGACAGAGGAGTAGGTGAGAATCGACCTCACTATGTTGCTGTACAGCCATGGGACCATACTAGGACGCAAGCTCCAGTTGTTCCCGACCAAACGACTGCACATACCTAAACCAATTTTTGCCTTATGGCATACGTTGCTGAGGTGAGAGTTCCGCGTTAGTTTTTGGTCGATTGTTACGCCCAAGTACTTAACTTCCGTGGAAAATGGTACTTCTTTACCATTAAGTTTTTGTTGGACTATTGTCCAACCGTTTCTTTTTGGTAAAGGGTATTATAACAGTTTTATCAGCATTAACTGATAAACTGTTATCCCTACACCAGTTATTTATGGTGTTTAGGGCTCTTTGTATTATTGACGATAAAGTACTTTGGCAAAAGCCCCTCGCTGTGATCACAAGGTCATCAGCATAACTCAGTGTGTCAATGCGTAGGTCTGCTATTTTGTACAATAGTTGGTCAACCACTAGAGTCCAAAGAAGGGGTGAGAAAACATCTCCTTGTGGGCAGCCTCTTGTAGTTGCATCCTCAATCGAAGTTTGAAACAGTGCTATTTTTGCCTTTCTGTTTGAGAACATCGACTTCACTCATCTGATGGTTGTGGGGTCAACATTTTTAGATGTCAGGCCCCCAATCAGCAGTGATGTGGAGTTACTGTCGAAGGCACCCTCAATATCTAGAAAGGCACAAAGTGCTATTTCTTTATCCTCCAGTGCTTTTTCGACCCTGTCAATGACACTGATCGGGGGGTGTTTCCATAGATTTGCCTCTGCGGTAAGCATGCTGGTTGTAATGTATATGCCTCGTAGCTAGAGCTACATCCCTTATATATCTATTTATAACCTTTTCCAAGGTCTTAAAGAGAAAGGAAAATAGGCTTATAGGTCTAAAGGACTTTGGTAAAGCGTAGGCCTTTCTTACCAGCCTTAGGTATAAATAGAACTTTGACAATTGTCCATCGTTCTGGAATATATCCCCATGTAAAACTTACTCTGAAGATTTTCATCAGATAGGGAAGAAGGATGTCGATACCCATCTGCAGTTGGACGGGAATTATTCCATTGTTTTAAATGGTTTAAAGGAGTCAACAGCCCACTGCACCAGGTTTGGCCTTATCATCTTTGGAGCCCTACACCAGTCCTCATTATAAGGCCTTCATGGAGCTCTGAAAGAATTCAAGGCTAAAGGCTTGTGTGACCCTGGGAAATGGGTAGAAGCTAGTAACTCCAATGTATCTGTTTCACTATAAGTGAAGTTACTATCAAGCTTTTTAAGAAACCTGGTCTGATTAGGTTTAGCTTTTGATAGCATTTTGTGTAGTCTTGCACAGGCAAAGATTCAACTTCCTTGCATAGGTTCCTCCACAATGCTCTCTTGGCTTTCCTAATTTCTTTATTATATTCAGTTAGGGCTGCACTATAAATATCCCACTCTTTGGTTTTCTTAGCCCTATTAGTAGTTTACTGGTCTTTTCCCTAAGTTCTTTTAGCTTAGTATTCCACCAAAGAACTTTTCGTGTTGAGGTCTTGGGTTTGATGGGACAACTGTCCTCGAAGGCTTCACGGATACCTATGGTTACTGTCTCCATTGCTAACTTTCAATCGTTCTGATGCTTTTAGGAAATGTTTCCCAGGAGGTCGCTTTTGGATCCCTAAAAGCAACAGTTTCATAGGTTAGTGATGCTCCAACCACAAACTTAATGTGTTTGTGATCAGACATCGAGTTTTCACTACTAACATGCCAGTCATTTATCCGCCTGGACATGTTATTGGTAGCAAAGGTTATGTCTAACACTTCTTGCCTAGCACGCGTAACAAAGGTTGGTGTACACCCTAAGTTTAGGCTTACCAGGCGGTAAGAGATGAGAAAATCATAAATAAACTCACCTCTTTCGTTGATGTTAGTGCTTCCCCAGGCTGTGATGAGCATTAGCATCACAACCCACCACAAGTTCGCGTTGTGTTTTCGAGCGAACTCCGCCACTCGCTCTAACTCGATGGTAGGATCTGAGTTCTCTCCGGGAAGATAGGCTGAGCAAATGATTACTCTGACCCCTGTGCATCGTTTGTGTATTTATGTTTTTACATATAATCTTTTAATAGCAAGCAAGATTAAATAAATTTTTAAAACAAAGACTTATCAGTTCATGTATTATAATTTTAAATATGAGTGGGTATTTGGATCATTTCATAAATATGAAAATCTGACATTTAAGGTTTTTACTTGAGGCGCATAATGTTGCATTTGGATAAACTTACATTTGTGCAAGTTGTTTCATTATACAAATCATTTTGTCTATATTATCAAAAAGGAAGACCAGGTTTGATGATGAGATCACTAAGTAAAGAGGTACATTCCATTTTTTATTACTGGGAATAATATAAAAATGTCTTATTTTAAATGGTAAACTTTTTCGTAACATTTTTTTTTCAGAAACTTAATAATATGGAACCACCAGGTGCAGCTACCTCTTCAGTGTCTCCTGTCTTTATAGAAGGATCTAAACCACCAGAAGTATTTATGAAGATGAATATGATTGAAAGAGACAAGTAAATCCTTATTGTTAACAATGAAAAGTAAAGAAGTAAATGTAAGATGTAAAGTCAAAGCCTATATACATTCCACTGCTGGGCACAGGCCTGAGAGGACTTAAGGGCAAGGAAAAGTCCGTTGCGCTGCCCCAATGCGTGTTGGCGAAGTTCACATGTCTTCGAAATATTTTATTTTAATTATTTCTTAGACATGCAGGTTTCCTCACGATGTTTTCCTTCACCACCATTGCTCGTGGTAAATCAGCACTTAAAATTGCAATTAAAAAGTTCATTGGTGCCGGCGGGGATCGAAGCTGGCTTGCTCATGTACTGTGAATTTACAGCGAGCGTTTAGCCCTTGAGTTACAATGGCTCTATTAACAACTAAGTTACTCCGTACACATGATAGCTATTAATAGTGACTTATAATTGTTTCAGCAGTCTCGAAGAATGCCAATGGTCAAGAAAGCAGGCTGAGCTATTCACAGCACAGCAAGCAAATTTGTTACAAATAAATGAGAAAAAAGCACTCCCTCCAAGACAGCTACAGAAGACTATTATGCAAATAATAAACGATATTCCAGACTATTCAGACATTGTAAGTGAAATGGTTATAAATATATTGTAGACGTGTTTGTGAAACAATACATTAATGATTATTGTACTTTTTCAGCATTTTTTAAGTTTTTTAAATTGTATCCGAATGAAGGAGTTTTGTGGTGCTCAAGATTCACTGTACAATTGTTTTGACAGGACCGTGTTTAATATTTGCGGCAATGCTAACAACTGTAATGACAAAAATAAAAATTTTCGATATGCTGCTCTCAACCGAGCTGCCATGCACACACAATTTGGACATTTGTGAGTAGATTAGTATTGGTAAATTCATTTATTGTACATTTACCTAACAAAAACTGTGTGTCGCTGTGTGTAAGAGTATTCAACATTCCATTTCGTCCCATAAATGTAGTTATGGGCGACTATGGGAAATTCCGCCGCCCATGAACAACAGACTGGCGACGGGCGGCAGATTCAATGATGCGAGACGTCTGGTATTTCAGTTTCAAAAAACTTCATTGGCACAGTGACGATTAAGGAAAATTCTCCCTACAATGGGAGAAGCCATGGGCAGTTTTGGATTTTTATCTTATAATGAAAAAGAAGGTGAAGTGTGTTAATGAATACAATCGGGTGTTACTTTACAGAAATTAGATAGAGATAAATCAGGTGGACTGTACAGCAGTTTTACAAAAAAAGTTATGTCAATGTGGTTGCAGTAATAGTGCACGCAATCATGGGAGGTAGTGAGGTGCTCTTCAATAATGTCGTCCAGACCGAATTTCGGTTAAGGCAGCCAGTCCCAACGGAAGTCCTTTCGGCTCAGGACAGGATTGTAGTGCCCGAGTGAAATCACAAATACACGTGCACTCTCTATTCCCTCACACTCATGATCTGACGGATCGGTTATCCGACACGACCGGGGAGAAATAAACCGCGGGACTAACGATATTACGTGCTCTCCGAGGCACGGTGATGAAACACCGTTAAGTTCCTAACTCCGGGCTGCTATCGAGAATTTCTAGACAGAAATAAGCCGCGGGACTAACGATATTACGTGCTCTCTGAGGCACGGTGATGAAACACCGTTAAGTTCCTAACTCCGGGCTGCTACTGAGAATTTCTAGACAGAAATGAGCCGCGGGACTAACGATATTACGTGCTCTCCGAGGCACGGTGATAAAACACCGTTAAGTTCCTTACTCCGGGCTGCTACTGAGAATTTCTAGACAGAAATAAGCCGCGGGGCTAACGATATTACGTGCTCTCTGAGGCACGATGATGAAACACCGTTAAGTTCCTAACTCCGGGCTGCTATCGTGAATTTCTAGACAGAAATAAGCCGCGGGACTAACGATATTACGTGCTCTCCGAGGCACGCTGATGAAACACCGTTAAGTTCCTAACTCCGGGCTGCTACTGAGAATTTCTAGACAGCAAAAAGCCGCGGGACTAACGATATTACGTGCTCTCTGAGGCACCGTGATGAAACACCGTTAATTTCTTAACTCCAGGCTGCTACTGAGAATTTCTAGACAGAAAAAAACCAATAACTGATTTACGGTCCGACCGGGATTCGAACCCGGGACCTCAGAATCCGTAACCGCGTTTACGATCACCAGAATAACAAGGTAGGAAAACTGCTCTTCAAACTTTCACATTTTCACATTTTAATGAAATATGTAAAGCTCACCAGACAGTGTGCGTTAGGTGTGGCAAATCTCAGAAAAAGAATAATGTTTGAGTAAAATTCTTTACTGTAAAAAGTTTGTGTGTTTTTCTTTTTGATATTGTATTTCGTTAGGTTAGTGTTAGTACACGTTCAATTTTATTACAGTTAAACATTTTGTATTTATGGTTAAGCATTGCTATTTTAAGCTTTTAAGTTAGGTTATTAGTTCGGAGCGAGAGCCCCGAACACCTAGTAATGTAACCCCCGAGGAGGACGATGACTCGAAAGTGGTCTCGAAATATCGTGGTAGCACTGCGAGGATGCTGTGGGGAGCAAGTACTGCCCCTGGGTTGTGTTAATAGTGTAGAAAAGCGATAGGGCGGCCTCGGTTGAGTTTCGAGCGGAGATTCCGGGATCCTTTGTATTACGCTGATGGTGACCGCCGTGGGGTTTTAGCTGGTAAGAGTCTGGCATGACCTTCTCGTTGCCTCCGCAGCAAAAGGTATCCATGAGTATTTCGAATGAAAAAGTAGTATACATAGAAGTGTAAAATTAGTAAAGCGACAGTAGCCTAATGGCAGAGCGCGGATCGCGAACTCAAAAGGTCGTGGGTTCGAATCCGCGATTGGACTACTGTCGTGAATCACTCCTAGGACAAGTGTTTCTAGTTTACCAGGAGTGGTTAAAAGGAATATTAGTAATGTTAATTAATAATATTACTAATATTTAAAAAAAATAAGTATTTGTATATACTGGTCTAGTGAGGCGTTGCCATGACTAAAATTCTGTTGGTCGTGTCGTTGCGACATTTACTTGATGTGGCAAGGCAAGGTGTATGGTGTGAGTTACAGGTCGGTGGCGATGGAGGGCGTGCAGGAGGCGCTGGGCGCGGCGCAGGAGGCTGCGGACGCAGCGTGCCTGGCACACGCGGCTGCGTGGGGCGCGCTGGCGGGCGGCCGCGCGCGCCGCGCCGCGCTGCTGGCGCGGGTGCCGCGCGCGCCACGGGTCGCCGCCGCCGCAGCGCAGCTTATGGCACAGCACGCCGCCGTCAATGCTGCTAAGCCGGCAGAAGTTTTCCAGGTCACACTATCCACCAATTTTTGACGTGAAAACGTCTATAATTTTTGAAGTGTAAACTTATTTAAAATCGTGATTTGCAACTAGATGTAACGAAAAATCGACACTGAAAGAGACAAATATAGTAGGATAATGATTTCTTAAATTTGCGCCAACACTACACATTGAATAAAACTAAATTTACGGAATTTATCGCGTTTATTTAACTTCTTTTACTTATTTTTAATTCCCGACGTTTCGGGTGCTTTACAGCAACCATGGTCACGGGGGGGGGGGACTGAGATGTTTGACGTCCCAATGTCATAGTTAGTCCGGCTACCTTCAGTTTTTGAATATTAATTTTTGGTCCGATTTACGCAAAACGAGCTTATAGTATCATGAAGTCTTGCAGTGGTATGCTTAGGTTTGGGTTTAATTTTGTTAATTATAGGATCCCAAGCAGGTGGCAAACTCAACGTTCCGGGAAGTCTACAGTTTGCGATCATATCCCAGATGGCCCCAACCATTACATCAGATTTGATAGACCACAAATCCTCGCGAAAGAACATCGATTCCTACCAAGGATGGAACGTGGGGCTATTGAAATTAAAAAACATCCTAATGTCAATAGAGAAGGAGGCTGGGTACTACCACCTGCTTGGGATCCTATAATTAATAAAATTAAAACTAAACCCAAGCATACCACTGCAAGACTTCAAAACACAGTTAGTTCATTCTGCGTAGATCGGACCAAAGCCAATAATTAAAAAGCTGAAGGTACTCCGGGTTAACTTTGACATCGGGACGTCAGTCACCTCAGTCCCCCGTGACCATGGGTGCTGGAAAGCACCCGAAACGTCGGGTATTAAAAATAAAATAAATAAAACGCAATAAAATCCGTAAAAGTAGTTTTAATCAATGTATAGTGTTCGCGTAAATATAACAAATCATTATTAAATAAAATTAATCATATTGAATAAATTTATCATAACCAATGCATTCATAACCATCCACGGTTCAATAACTTAAAGGATTTGTATTAAATTAGTCGTGTTTAGGCTATCTAGCGCTTATTCTACGTATTCTTGAGAGTCAATCATTTTATTTTTTTGATAAAATGACTTCAACTACAGAAATAAGTAAATAACGCTATTACATAGCAATTTTACTCACAATTTTCTTTAAGTTTCACTTCTACCGCTTGTGAATTGCATACATGTTTTTTTTATAGAATTATACTTTTCCTCTTTATTTGTGTATTTATGTTTCCCGGGTCTACAATAAAGATTACAATGTATTATATTAAAGAAGTATTTCAGTCGAAGTATTGTACTACATTGTATGTGAAGATCTATTTTATCTACTGCTTTTACTTAATTTGATTATATTTAAGAAGTATGTTGCGTGGAGTAGTCCTAAGAGATATCATCACTCAATGTCGCCCCGTGGGTGTCGTAAGAGGCGACTGTAGGAATTTTAGAAAGATCTCACGGCGGTATAACCATCTCGTTTATTCCAGATGTAAAATAACCAAGCCGCAACGGGGAACAGCGTCAAAGGTGCGAGACATTAGTTGCTGTAATTTCCGCATGCAAATCTTGGTGATAAGTAAAATTTACCCTACAACAAAGAGAGGTTCATATTCAGTAGTAATTTACAGTCTGATGATAGAGAAGAATAAAGGAGGGGTGTGATTGCTAACCATCACGAATCAGATGGGCCGTCTGTGTAAAAGAACTATATCCTTCAGGTCGAATTTCGGTCAGCTATCTGCGGAGAAAGAACTATAGTACATGAGTTTATGCGTAAGCACAGGTGCACTCATATTCCCTCACTCGTAAAGTCCAATGGGACGGCAACCCGATATAAGCGGAGAGAGATCAGGTGCAGGACCCTCGGATTTACGTACTTTCCGTGGTATTGGGGTGAAACAACGCCAACTTACTGACTTTGGGCCGCTACTGAGAATTTTCTTGACAGAACTGATTTTGGACCGACCTAATCCTAGGACCCCATGTCAGCAGTATCGTTTATTACCATCACTAAACCAACACGGCAGTTCAGAACCATTAACGGCCTCAAAGCTACTAGTAACCAATGATGACCAATGTACTACAATTTTTGCGCAGATTATTACAAAAGGCGACTCCATAAATTATCTTCATTCAATGACCGATTTGACGATGGCTGGATTGGCAAATACAGCAGCATTGTGGTCTTTATATGGAAAAACAGAAATGGCTTCTATAAGCTGTCAACTCCTTCTAAATCTCAACACAAGTAAGTTGTCTTGTATTAGCATTTTGGTTTAAAACCCACAAAGATACAATTCAACCAATGAATTGTTGAATTGTAAGTTCAACGGTTGTGTATTTAAATTTTCTCATTAATTGTAGCTAAGCAGTTAGTGGTATAAGACTGATTAAACTGTAATAACAATCATATATCATATACAAATATCTTTCAAATCGGCAGCAAAATTATCCGCCGATCAATTTAGTAAAATAGTAACAGTTTTTTTTAATAATCATTAATATCATGGATGCCATTACTATTTCACTGCCAACCACAGCCTATTCAAATAAACATCTGTTGTATGGATGTGTATTTAAAAAAAAATCACTTTACGGTTTACCAAAAGGTAAAAACATTAAACGGTCCAAATCCCACTGACAATTCTCATTAATTTTAGCCAAGTAGTTTGTTGGTATAAGACTGATTAAACTGTAACATTAATCATATATGACAAATACCTTTCAAATCGGCAGCTAAATTATCCGCTATTCAATTTAGTAAAATGATAACAGTTTTTTTTTTAATAATCACTGATATCATGGATTCCATTACTATTTCACTGCCGAACACAGAAAGAATCATCCTTTTTCTTTTTATTTCAATTTCAATTCATTCTTTATAAATGGGTATTACAGTAGTGAAATTACATTACACGCCACACAAATTCTGAAACGGAACGAACGGGTCGGCCACACGCATACGGAATCCTGTTTTGTCCGTAAAATTTTGAATGGCAAACCGTAGGTGTGTGACGGGTCCTTGATTTTATATCGACTTGCTGCGTTCGGAATTCCAAATCAGATTCCCGAAACGGAATTCCGTATGTATGTGGTGGGTCTTAGACTCATGTCATGAAAAAGTTTCCGGTTACACGCTATAGTGTCCAATAGAAATCAGTAAATTGAGATCATTATATAACAAACTACAATGTCTAAATAATTATTAAATTAAGATCAAATAAGATTTACTATTAAATGAACAATTTCAATTTTGTTACCTAAATGTCACATTAAATGTCAAAGTACAAGTTATCCAGTTTTGATACCACATCTTACAATTTGTCTTCAAGAAACTCTCTATTTGAATAATATGATTTTTATAAAAGTAGTTTCTTCACTTTATTTTTAAGTAAATTGCTATTTGAAATTTCAAGCAGAGAGTTGGGTAAATGGTAATACACTCTCATACAAATTACACTGCTGTTTAAAGTTTAGTTTTATTAGACGTGAAGCCTATTTGGAAAGGGTATCTAGCTTTTTAATTTAACTAACAGGTTATTGCTTCTTACAAGTAATACCATATCCAATATATAATTAAATGGTCAATACTTTAATTTTTGGAAATATCGATCTACAGCTCTCGGTTTGTTTCATTCTGTATATAGCTCGAACGCATCTCTTTTGCGCCCTAAAGACCAACTCTTTGCCTACAGTTTTGCCCCAAAACATAACACCATACACTAAAAGAGGAGTAACATGACCATGGTAAGCCGATAAAACTGTGGATGCATTGGTAGTTTTGGAAAACATGTAGAGCGCATATGAATATTGATTAAGTTTCGTACATCGTACAAGTAACTTATTTAGAAATATATTGTGGTCAACATAGTCAAATGCATTTGTTAGGTCCATATAAAGGGCGCAGACTTGATTTTTATTATTTATGTTTACTGTAACACTCTGTAAAAAAGAGTAAACTGCCATATTTATCGTTTTGTTCTTTCTGAAACCTACCTGCTCTTTTGAAAATAAATTATTTGTTCCAAATTAATATTTAATCTTTGATGAATTACTTTTTAAAAACTGTAGATAGAACAGGTACTAATGCCTTTTTGTCTTCCTTAAAAAGGTTTGATTATAGTAAAGTTTAATTTTTCAAGAAAAAGGCCATGATAAACGCATTGATTGGATAATATGACTCAGTACATGTGACAATTTAATAGATACATATTTTAATACCTTGGTTGAAATATCAACCCGTACGAACCGTATCAACCCATACTGTTAGTAGGTTTTAAATTTAAAATTATTTTATGTATTTATAATTCGGTGTTGCGGGTTTCATAAATAAAGATTTAGTTTTACTTGAAATCTTAATTGGCGTTCTACGAGGGACTAATATAATATTCATTAAAGTTATTCGTTATGCTTATGGGATCCTTAATTGTAGTGATTTTGATAGTAATTTGTTGTATTTCCTCATTTGGTAAATTCATTGTTCTATTATTAATTGTAGTCCATGGATCTATTCTTCTACATACAAAGTGTACAATCACGTCGGTAGTATTCGCAAGTATCGAACGGTCGATGCCTCGTAGCATCCCGGAGCAGTGTTCATCATCGCGTTCCCGATCAACCTTCCTTCGTTTTTTTTTTGGTTAATTTGTAAACAGAATGTCCCAAAAATCTGCTTCAAGCGAGTACGGAGCGATAAGCTAGGTTGTAACAGTTCTAGCAAAAAAAGTTCTATGTTACTTGGTTAAGTGATAATAGTGTTACGAGCTTAGGGTTCGTTACAATAAAAACTGCCGATTGAATTACCAAAATTGACACTTTACCGAACACCAATTTCAACTTAAAACACACTAATAATTAATCTTACTGAACACTTTAGTCGCAGTTATATCGTTTTGAAGTATTCGCTTGAATTGCCAATTCAATACTGACCCCGGTCGCGGTCTAAACCGGCCTTATATAGGACCTTTTTCTACTGAAAATATATAGAATGTTCGAGGAAATACCGGTCCCGACCGACTAGGTGTAGAAAGTTCTGATAGTTCTGCCACTCGATACCAGATGGCGCTAGTGGGAAGTTCTAGTATGAGATTGTCTAGAAAGCTCTCCTAGTTTTGATACTCGATACTAGATGGCGCTAGTGGCATTAATTATGGCTTGCAACAATAGGTATACTTTTGAAATGTTTGAAATTAACACCCTAGATCACATATTTAGGTACTGTGATCACAACTAAATAACTATGCTATTGATTGCAATCACAAATCCAATAATTAATATTCTGAGTTTAGTACAAAAAAAAAGTTTAATTAAGTCATGCTTAAAAACGGTTTAAGACATATTTTGAAGCCTTGTCTTTAAAGAAAATCTACTATACTACCACAGGCAAGTTGTTTTAAAAATGGCCCATTTATTTAAGATTTCAAAAAAGTGCAACACTTGCTACTTATCTTTCCTTAAAAAATATTATCACGATAATGATGTCCTATTGACGTATTATGGTAAAAGTTAAAAATAATGAAACACTAGGAAATATTGTAATCATTTATTTTTTTTGAAACTAAATTAAGAAATGTTCATATTGTTTGCCTTCGACACGAATACAGGCTCTGCATCGCCTAAGAAAAGATCTTTTCACTAATCGTGCGTATCTCCATGAGTTTATTTCCTCTGCTGTTTCAGCTATTTTGCGGCGTAGTTAAATGTTAAATGTGGATTTTCTATGTGCCAACCGTGCAAGTTGTGTAAGTTTAAATAACCGTCTTGTTTAAAGGTCGTTTCATCTATCCATAAAATTTTGTGAAGAAACTGCGGATCTTCATGATTTCTCGCCAAAATTGTTCCGCAAAAATCGATCCTGGGTGCAAGTAGTCACGAGGTAGCGAACTTTGTACTTATTGCAGATGGTACGGGTGATATTCATATCGCTTTAAAATTCAATGGACAATAATTTTCGGTATTCCAATGTCTCTTTCAATTGCACGTACTGAACTACTGCGATCAATTTCAATTTAATTTAAAACTACGTCGTCTTCATTTTGTGGTCTCCCACCTGCCGTACGAACACTTGCATTCGTCCTTGCGAATACGACTGGTGCACAACTCGGTGATCTACGCGGCTGCCGCAGAGGCATTACAATTGCATTCCCCGTAGATAATATGCATGTTTGCATATTCTTGCGCAGTATACACATATGGCATTTTAGCAGAACAATAAATAATAAAGTGCAGGGAAACGCAGCCAAAGTAGTCAAAACAAATGCGATATCAAGTCCAGGGAAAACAAGCCAAAGTTGCCAGTACGAAAGTTACACGATTACGAGGAGTTGCGCCGTAAGAAAGGAACGAAGCGTACTGAATGATAATAACCTATTATGAATTTGACTATCGCATCGGCGTCACTAACCTTCTCACTTTCTCGAAAAAAAAAATGTCAGTATATCCAACTCTATTGAACACCGCCACTCTTTATCTCACTCTATCACATCCGTCTGTCTTGCTTACACAATAATAAAGCAAATCCTTTTGCATACAAAAGTACTCTTCAGGAAGCTGTTTGAAATAAGTCTTTTTGGAAGTAAATATGCAATAATATTTTTATGGAAAGATAAGTAACAAGTGTTGTACTATTTTTATATCTTAATTAAATGGATCATTTTTTAAAAGGACTTGCCTGTCGAGTACATTTTTTTTAAAGAAAAGACGTTAAAGTATGTGTTAAAACGTTTTTAAGCATGACTTAAACTTTATTTTTTATGCTAAACTCATAATATTAATTGTTGGATTTGTGACTGCATTCAATAGCATAGTTACTTAGGACAATTTTTTTGCGTCTACAAATAAAAAATATGTAAAAATATAGTTTAAAATCCTGAACATTTTTTTCTTCGGTCATGCTACTGCAGGAAGTCAGAAATTAAAGCTATTCCAGTTTAAACAAAATACACGTCAGACTAGGCTTATGGCTATGGTATAAAATGCCTTAATTGGCAAATCGTTACAGCAGCTATAGTCAACCAAATCTAAGAAATACCTTTTGACGTTTCACATTATTGATTCCGCAATGACTTTGCACAAGCGTACTCACACGATTTAAAATAACCTTTTACGTAAATCCGAAGAATTATAAAGTTATCTATATTTGATTACAACGTAAAATATTTAAAACAAAGCAAAATATTTAAAAAAATAACCAGTACAAATTATTTTACTTGACATCGTTTCAATATGTCGCTATGAACTTTACAGCAG